TTCACCATCTTTAACCATATAATAACCATATATTAACCATCATTTACAGTATATTAACCAGTTGAAACCACCAATCAGTTGAGTATCAAAAACGGGAAGCAACTCATGAGATTCGAAAAGATCTGGTGTTGAAAGTTACGGAGGCGACTTTGAAGGGATACAATCTGGAAAAATTGCAAAAACCTCACAACGTGACCAAAAATGATTGGCAGTAGGGGGAATGATCCAAAAGTCACGCCCTATGCCTTGTCCGCCTTGGGAGCCGCGAATTTCCTTGCCGGGCTTCGTTAGTATCGCACCCACGTGATTTACCCGTGCTGTGCAAGGGGGCCGCTGAAGGCGACGAAGATGATCCCTTGGCACCATTCTGGGCGATGACGCGCTCGTTGCGCGAGTCGTGGCAACTAGTCCTTTTTCCGCCGAAGGCGGCAGCTCCTTGAAAGGAGCTGGCTTTTGCTATCGCAATCGGACACTTTTTGCAATTGTTCAACGCGCCTACCATTACCTGATCGCACAAGACGTGCCTTTTGGGCCAAAGATGGCGGGTCTTGAGACGGTGAACACCACTGCCCTAAGTGGGATGATCGTTGATTTGGGAACTGCGAACTCATTCGACCAGATATTTCATGTGCTGGTGCTGGTGCTGTGAAAATAAGGTATATAAATTGCATTAAATTGCGACATAGAGAGGTAAAATGGATAGATATGAATCGCATAGTTCCAACAACAGATGCGACCGCCAGATTGAAAATAGGGGCAGTACCAAATTCACTGGTTCGCTTTCCCGAAGACTTCGGGGATATTTTTTAGACAAGCCCACTTTAAATGGAGGATTTGAAAACTACAGTAAGAATTAAAACATATTTTGGGCACGGCGTGCCATGGTTTGAAATGAATGAGGTGTTCATACCTTGTTTTTGTGTATAAAGAACCAACCATACTTTTTTTTCGATATGTTGATACAACGTTGAAACAAAGTCAATACATCATGATATCACTCATAAACCAGCCTGTGTTTCATTGGAAAAATGTTGCATTATACACTAGGTCCCAACATCAAGCCCCAGATCCCAATACCATTTCCCAAATATACTTGGAGCATCCCTGGCATTGTAAGTGGCTCATAACCTATATAGCCCATACGTAATCTATATATATATAATATACACATACCAATAGTATCATATTATGTGGTTCATAGATAATATACTATTATAGTACCAATTGTCATATTATATTATAACACTGTAATAATATATATATAATCATGTATATATATATATACCAATATCTAACTGGGCTATACCATAGCTATACCATGGGTTCGCCAGGATTGGCCACTCTGCGTCTTCGGCCCACGAGATCGCGTGGCGCTACCTGGAGATGGTCAGGATGTGAAAATAGGGGGTTTTTTTAAGGTACCAAAGTCAATGGGAATTTCAGGATCCTAAAATGGAAGTACGTTAGTACAATATGTTTGGCCATATTTTGGGGGAATATTCCCTGAAATTTAGGCCTTGGCCTTATATATGGTAGGTACCTCCAATAAATCGGTTCCTGGGTCATGGCCATTGACAAAGTGGTGGCTGGTTTCACATCACAAAACCAGAAACTTCATGAAACTTCCATGTTTCCGTATTTTTTTCTATCAAGTTCTCGGCTGTTGTTTGTTGATACGCTGGATGTAATGAGTCATTTAGTGTCAACATTCACGTAGATGTGGAAAAGACGTGGCCCGAGACTTTTTCGCATGGCATATGATGAGTGCATCCTCGAGTGGAAAGAACGCACTTCTATTGCGCATGACCTTGTTGTCACTTACTCTGGTCATTCCGTTTCCTTGAGCACAGCTGCATATGCAGATGATCTTGTCCGCGTCGTCCATGGACACAGCTTGGCGGCAGTTGAAGATGTGAATGGATTCCCTGGAAGACATGCATAGCAGCGTGCAGCTTGCATTTTGCAAACCCATCAAAGACGGGCGATTTGTTTTTGCGGAAATTTGCCCCATCAGGGCCAACCCCCCTTTTAGGGGGTCGCAGGGCCATTTTGGATCTGTATTTTTTGCCTCAAATGTAAGACGCGCTGGCCCAGCTAGCGTGCGCAGTCAAACATGACTGTGGCACACGTCAGCGGCTGATTCAAGACCGCTCCAGTGGTTGCAAGCAAGCAAGCAAGCAAGCAAGCAAAAGCTGGATGTATTGAGTCATTTCGTGTCAACGTTCACGTAGATGTGGAAAAGACGTGGCCCATTGATGGATGAATTGATGTGAGTAAAACAATGTCATAGACCACCCATTCAATGCCATGTGGGAATTGGCCATACCACCAATGAAAATAGTGATTTGGGGGATGGCTTATGGCATTGTTGTACCCACATTACTTCAATTTAAAGTCGTGATTTTCCACATCGAACTGTCGTTTACGGCGGATGCCTCAGCCAAGGTCGGAGAGTCTGCTCGGCGCTATCTGTTGGATTCGCAGGCGCTCACAACGGGACGTCGTTGGGGAAAGCCGTAGCTTTGAAATGGTTAAAAGCTCAATTGGTTAATATTGGTTAGTATTAATGATAAATACAGGTGAATATTGATTGATAATGGTTGATAATATGGATTACTCTCTGGTTATCTAACCATTTTGAGAGGTAAAAATTATCATGTTCATCATCTACAGACGCGCCATCTATTACAAAAGCTATGTTAAATAATTAATCAAATGGTAAAATGGTGTAAAATGGTTAAACCCTCAATTTTCCCAATTGAATATGCTAAAAACCATGGGCATCCCGTGGTTTTTTGTTCCCATTTGGAGACACGGTTGTTGTTTGGTTCAGAAATTCTAGGAGATGAGTCTGTGGGCCGACCCTCAATCAATGGAAAAACCCCTATAAATGTGGGTTTTTAATGGAAAATCATCTGGGGAATGTCCCATTGCCACGTTTGATTTCAGGATGGTTTTTTGTAACCAAAGATTTATCCCACGAGACTTTGACATCGCTTGGTGATGTGGGATCCACGTCGTGTTTTTTTTCTGAACCATCCATTGGTTTGAATCAACCACTTGATGCTGGTTGGTGGTTTGGGATTTTCCCATTGACTAATGGTATAATGATTGGAAAATGTTTTTCAAGATGGTTATTGCACCACCAACCAGGATGTCATAAATCATCCCCAGTGGCTATATCCACCGAAAGAAACGGGTCAATCGAGGAGGAATGAAGATTGATTGATTCTTTATTCAAGGCGCTGGTTCTAGTGTCAGACTGACCATCCGGCAATCAAAACTGGAACTGGAACTCTCAAACGTGTTTGCATTTATGGATGATTTCCCTACTAAAGAGTGTGGTTGTCCAGTTCCATGTTTGATTACACACGTATATATATATATATTCATTATTTATATATATATATATATCGTAGATGTTCGGAAGTCCTGCCAACGAGTCAAACGAAAAGTTGGAATGGCGTTTGATGTTTTCACCAGGTTTTTTGGTACATGAAAGCTGTGGCACCGTCTTGCGGGTCATGGGAAAAATCCCCCATAGTTTTTGTTCGGAAACGAGAAATGTACGAGACTCGGAAATCGTTGTTCCAAATTGAAGATCTGGGAGATGTGCTATGGATAACTATGATCGCCAAAATTCCCATGAGGGGATTTGGTGTTTTCACCAGGGACCCCCCGTGACCTTTGGCTCTGACCGCCAGGCGTTTTTTGGCCTAACGCCAGATAAATAGTTTGAAGTTTGACATACCTTCGCTGGCCCCAAGGTATTCCTAGAAAGGAGTGCTAAGCGCCATTCCCAAATGGTCGGTTTTACTTTTTTGGGTTTACCACACGACCATAAATCTCCCCATTGACAGTTCTGGATTATGTTGTGACCTCACGTCGTGACGTCAGTGGAATGATGCTTAGGAAGGGGAATACCCCAATAACAGCCTTCTTCAGGGTTTTTCAGGACGGTGCAATATTATAATTCAGCCAGATATTGCTGGAATATAAAGGATTATGTATAAAACTATTAACGGACAATTTGACAAGGAAAAAGCCTGATTCACTATGAAATTACAATATCTGTTGCAAAGTTTATAGATGATTTTCCCATGAGAAATGCCAACATGTTCGCCAAGTTCAAGTGCCATAAAGCCTCAAGTTGGAAGTAATGATGCGTCCCCATGACCTGTTCCTGTGGTTGATCTTGGCCGAGACTGGCCGATATGCATGGATGAAATGATCAGTCAATTTGATGACAGAAATCTGATTTAAGGATCTTTGACCTCTCCAGTGTCATAGTTCAGTTGTTGGCATAAGTTTACATCAGCATTTTTGCTGACTATACTATGCTATGGTCCAATATTTGGTGTTCAAAGCCCAGTAAGCCCACTGCTGTTCGTTAAACCTCCTTTCGGTTGGAAGACACTCATGTGGTTATTGTGGTTGGATTGCAGCCATACACTTTGATGTTTTGCTTTTGTTGGACACAAAGACAGACAAGACGGGTAAACTCGCATTCCCGCAGTTTCAGTTCTCAAATCTTGTCGTTTCTAAGCGGGGCATCAAGCAATAGTTGGGTTGCAACAGATGGGGATGGGAAAAATAGTTGGGCTGCAAGTCATGGGGCTGTTATCTCTTCAGTAAAAAACTCACTGACAGCTTAGCGCTTCCTCACAGCGATGTTCCATTAGACTAAGGTGGCTTTCAAGCCCACAGCGACAAAGCGGGGATTTCATGGGAATATCACGGGAAGTCATGATATACCCAAAAAACAATTTCTGGAATGTATTGTTTTTATTTATTTATACAAAGTGGGGCCCCCTAGATAGCTAAGTTGGTTTATAACTCCAATAACTATGGTTTATGGTACTTATAACTATAGTTGCTGGGGCTTATAAACCAACTTATAACTGGGGGACCCCACATTGTATTGGGATTTCTTTTTTACGGGGTGTATTTAAAAAAATGCCATTCAATGTTAAGATGGGAATCTTTGGGTAGAAAACCGCCATGGTTCTGAGATGGCTGGCGCTGTGTCTACCATGCGCTTTTTCGATCAATGTGCCTCGCTGCCTTTTTTCCCGTCCATACCCTGGCATAAATTGAGTTTCAGCGGATATTAGGCCTTGCCATGATGGACTATGACATGGAAAAAAACAGGTGGTCCCCCTGGATTAATAAACTCTTTGGCCTGGACCTGATTAATCAAATCTGGACAACCTGGAAAACCCAGAACGAAGCCATGGAAAATCACCATGTTTTATAGGTAAACCATCTATAAATGGGCCATTTCCCATGGCTATGTTAAATAACCAGAGGGTACTCCAGTTTGCCATAACTTCGATTGATCGCTGTTTAGGCTCCACATGGATTTATCGCATATCTATGCATATCTCTCACAAGTTGAAAAAGAACTAGCATGTTACTAGCAGACCGCCATGAATTAGCTGAACTCCATTGTTTTTTGTTGTTGCTAGTGTTAAACGTATTTTAGGGTGGGAACAGAAGTACAGGCTCAATTTTATCGAGAAAAACAAAACATGCAGTTTATGAATGTATAAGTGTCATACACGTACATTATATATATATATACATATACATTAAGAATGTTACGATGTGTACATACATACATACATACATACATACATACATACATATATATGTATACAGTATATCCTTTTCAGAAGTTTAGCTAGATCAACTCAAATCAGGGAATGATTCTACTCCAGCCACTCACATGATTCCCTATGACTATCCCACCCATGTCGATTCTCATAGTATCCATTATGTTTGGCATGTCCTCAGCTTTTATGCCACATGTTTGCAAGCTACATCGATTAAAAAGCCCTTCTGTACCTCCCAGAATTGGTTGAAAGGAACATTGTGCAAGAGATTCCGAAACTTTGTTGGAAAAACTATGGTTTCCTGTGCTTTTACCCCGCAAACTAAACCATTGCAGTTTCAGGAGTTATGGTTTGGAGACGCCAAGGACGTAATTATAACATGGAAGATAAATATCTTCAAATGTCGGCTACATCTCAACACGTGTTCTGTTTATATCCCTTAACCATCATGATCTGCAACCCCAAGCAGTCATGATACATCCGAAAATCATCTCAGTTAGCAAGTGGTCAAAATTATCCCTTCGGTGAGCACAAATCCCCGATGCGAAAGTGTGCCCCAGATTCGTGTAAGTTTGTTCACCTGAGTAATCACTTACAATAGATCGGATCCTTCAAGTATGGTTCCATGGTTCATAGCCTGTTTGCAACTAGAACTTTGGTGATGGGTCACAACCGTGATATGTGTGTATGATATAGGTGCGGGGATGAACATACATTGCCTAAGCCAGCTATGTTGACGTTGGTGTCACGAGATGGTCATAGCATCAATAGAGAATTGTGCTCTAAGGAGTCCCACGGCGATGCATGACAATATTTGCCATGGACCATGGCACATATAATTTGGTTGTATCATACATATATATATATATGTGTGTATGTAACATATATATTTTGTAACAATATAATGATATAAAATATTAATGATGATAATAGTAATATTGATAATAATGATAATAACGATAATAATATATATAACTATATATATAATATCTAACATACCGCGGTCCTCAAGGACATAGGCTGACTACCCCAAGTTCAGCTGGCACATTTCTCTGTCATGCAGACGGTCCAATCTTGCACCAATTATCTGCTCCAGAATAGGCATGTCAAAGTTGGGCACCTCACAAAATGGATCGGCAAGACTAATGTGGGTAAAACAATGTCATCTGCACCATCCCTCAGTCATCACCATTTTGCTTGGTGGGATGTTTACCACTCCCAAATGGGTGGTTTATGACATTGTTTTACCCACATTATTTGAAAAAGGGACTAATCCATTTGCAGATCCCGATTTTGGTCTTCACCCAGTTGACTAAGCATCGTACCCATTTGTGGTGTGTTTTTTCATATCCCCGTTAGGGCCTTGAATTTTGACCCATACCCAAATCACCTATGGTTACACCCCCCTATTTGCTCAAATCGTATTCATTGGAGGGTACAATGTGGTGACCCCTAGTTATTTTTTTGGTTTTAACCTCCATGGACTAGTTCGATATATCTATCAGAAACCCAACAGTTAGCTCGGTTTTTGCTTAACAAAAAAAAAGGATCAGGATTGGTCCCACCCATTCTATGTAAATGACCACCACGAGGTTGGTTATATGAATTGGTGATGTTACCTCTATACTTCGCCAAGTTTCCCCCCAAATGTCTCTGGGGTGGCCAGGACACAACCCTGATTTTGCTTCAACATGGCCATTTTGGTTGAGGTTTTTTACTTCACCGAGTTGTTTGCCTCTCAACTGAGGTGCAGATCATGGTCACCAGCAAACTATCCTCCTTGGATCGTCGAATGACGCTGCGCGAAGTCTTTGCTCATTGCACAGACAGCACAAAGGACACGTGGCGCGGCATTGTGATGCGGCTTCATTGGGCCACCGCTGTGTAAAAAAAATGGGAGATATTCCAAAAAAAAAGATCCAAATCATAGATGTCCTTTTCCCATTGGTTGGTTTATTCATAGAGGGGTTTGAACAAACCCCTTTAACAACAGGTAAATGATGATAGATGGTGTACCACACCGGCGCCTCTATTTTTACCAAAAGGACACTATTGATCCAAATAGCTGTTGTAATAAACAGTGGAGTTGTGTGGTGCCCTATTTTCAGACAATGCCATACTGAATAATGAAGAACATTGTGCGATTCGAGTAGAACATGTTCGACTATCTGAATTTTAGAAGATCACCTGGCAGTAGGATATTATCGATTAGCACGATACATCCACAAATCACATGTGGGGAAAATAGGGGCGAATGATGAGAATCTTGAAGGGAAGATATGATGTTATCATCTATAAATACTTGATGTTCGGGTGCAGTTACAATCAGTTACGGTGATTTCTTATAGGTATAACCAGTGCAAAAGACTCAACCAGTTGCGATATATTCCCCTGCATCTATGGTGAGCTATGTCCAATTTTTTCAGGAAGTGCACCTTGCAGTTCTTGATGATTCAGTTTTAAAGCCCTTCATCTGGATGCCAAAAATCACCAACTCTGTTTTGGGGGGCCCATGACTGATGGATATTGATTGCGAGTTCCACGGCGATTGAGCAACTAAGAGGTCTTTGCGCAGTTCAAAGCTACACCTGTGGGTTGTATCAACGAAAATAACTGAAACTCATAATATCACCAAGCAAATACCTCTGCTCTAGAGAAAAATGAAATATTTCAGCACTAAGCCAGGTGATACAAATTGACAATGTTGGGATCAAAATGGGTAGCGTGCAAGAGACGGGTTTTTTGAGCTGTGCTCAAGACCTTGATGAAAGGAGATTGTAGCCTACAGGATGGGGCGCCCTTCAGCGTGCGTTTAGTTGGTTGATGTTTGTGGCTGAAGTCTATGATCAATGGCCATTTCAGGATCCTAAATTGGAGGTACCTACCATATATAAGGCCTATGTAAGGCCTATGTAATTCCCATTGATGTGATTTTTGGTAGATATAACGAACTAGATAACGAACTAGTTCATAACTATGGTGTTCATGGGGTTTATAAACTAACATTCACACAACTGGGGGGTTTATAAACCAATCATTGCATATTGTCCCCATAGTAAGATTCCTGTGATATATCCCCATGAATATCTCCATTATCCCATGGATTATGGATTAGGATTATATGCATATGACCTTTACCATAAAAATGATTTGTTGTGATATACTCTTGGTTGCTAAACATTGGAATTATCATAATCCATAGGAATCCCTTTCTCCCGTTCTGAAAACCGATTGCTTCATATTTTTCAATCATTCAGATTTCCGGCCCAATGATATTGCCGTGATATTCTCATGATATTCCCATGCCATGGGGGCCCAGCCGCCACGGCTCATCTTCACCGAGACATGCTGTCGAGCAACTCTTCTTTCTGGCAGATGCCGAGGCTGCTAATGAGGAGCTGCTGGGCATTTGGAAAACCGGGCAGCGCTTTTCGCTTTGGAAAAAATGTGGGTTGGGCACTCCACTTAGTGGATAATAAGCATATTATATGGGAGCCGATAATGCAAGTCTAAGTCTAAGAATTAGGAAAGGGCATGTGTATTTCAAGATCAGCGATTGTGAAACCCTGCATCACGATTGATCGGCGATTGTTTCGCGATTGAGACGAACATTTCTTGTATGAGAATCAACTATTGTGAGAGGAGAAATCAATATTATATGGCATGATATGTTTTTCAGACTTTTACTCTGGAGTCTGGAAATTGTATTTCATAGTGATAGCTGATAGCAAAGAAGAATCAGAACAACGAAGTTCAAAGTCGAACAAACCAGATAAATTCAGTGTTAAAAAGATGTCGATAAAATCCACAATTGGTTCGCCTTTGATTCGCGATTATTCAACCAACGTGAATAGGCCCTGGCTCATGCCATGTCTCTATACAATGTGATATGTATAGCATTGTATAGCTATTTTTTGCCGATTCTCTGCGCAAAATAGTCCCGGATACAACAGAACTCTCCCACGATTGACACCATTGAGATCGTGGTTGATTCGCGGTTGATCGGCGATTGAAGCCGCCCTGGATACCTTTATAGTTGGTAACTATTGGGATTCCTATGAAACTCTAAATTTTATGGGATTGTAACGGGATTAACCATCTACCAACTGGTGCAGTATTTCTTCCATGCACCATATGGAAATCCATGGTTTTCATGTGGAAATGATCTACAAATGGTGTATCAGGTTACTGGAGGGCCAGAAAAATATGGGTCTGGTACCTGGAACATGGCAAATTGCTCCCCCAATTTATGGCCAATTTTGGGTACGATGAACAGAGGATTTATGTGTAGTCTCAGACAAACCCATATGAAAATAGCCAAATATTGTATATATACATATATCATATATAATATATATTATATATTATATATAAAATTGCGATACTGCCAATGATGGGTACAGCGACTGAGGAGTTGGGATGTTGATCAAAATTCTGGTCGGAATGCCCCTCTGACATTCGCGTCAGGGAGGCAACCTGAAGACCAAAGCTATTTTTCGGGTCATCACCAGTGATCTTCCCAGATGTTTTGTTTTTTTTGTGAGGCTATATGTCTACCTTAAACATGTTCCTATATATATATGTAATAAAGATATCTAGAGATCCAATCACCATGTTTCTTGGTGAGTTTGTTACACACACCACAACTGCGTTTTTGTTGAGGCTCAATCAGATGCTGAAGGAAGAAGAATCCCTGTCCCTTGGTGATGTGGCGCCGGCAAGGTGAATAGCCGTACCTTCTCAGGAAGTGGTGGTTTCCATAAATGGTGGTATCCCAATAGCTGGACGGTTTATTTCATGGAAGTTCCGAACCAAAAGAATGGATGATTTGGGGGTACCCCATGGATTGGAAACCTCCAAGTGGGGGATGATGGGGGTTAAGTACCTTCGAACGCAAAGCAGGTGAAGACACCCCATGGCCTTCGACCAAGGACGGTTGCTATTCTCGTGGCCATGCTACCAAGTGGGGAAGCCCACCATATCGAACTGGGGCACATAGTCACATAGTCCCCCAGCACGAGACAAAATTGTTCGAAGAGAAAACAACGCGACGACCCTTTTCTTTCCCAGAAAAGCGGATGGCCATCACTGTTGAGCATCTCTAGCGCACTGCGAAGGCCTGGAAAGGCCGCGTTCGGCAGCGGAGCCGGAGAGCCATGAGTCAAATAGCCCTGCCGATTGGGAGTTGAATGGGAAGTCATCATCAATAAAAAAGGGGAATGAACGGCAAAGTTCGTTGGACATGGAATTGGGGATACTAGTTTTGGGCATGGATCAAAAGACTTGGGGAACCATAGATTTTAGGTCATTCTTAGTCTGAACTATCCACAAACTTGGCGTACCCAAGTTTGATCCGCACCCAATTCTAGCGGTTATTGGGTTAAAACTATCAAACGCATAGAGCTATAATTGATAAATTATTGTTGATTGCTTACTATAGGGTTTTATACTCAGTTTCTAAGTGCTTTGATAACTCATAATATAATGCCCTCCGACAATTTGACATAGCCATGGAAAATCCATGTTAAACATTGCGATGTTCCATAGTTATGTTAAATACCAGAAGGTATCCGATTTAAGCCCAGTTCTCCCCTAATCATGTTCGAGCTTCTATATGGGTTTGTCTGAAGTAAAATGATGGTAAATTATAGTCTGTTGGAATTACAGATAGCCCCAATCAGCTCGAAGCAGGCGTCAGTTAGCTGCTCAGCAAGTAGGATACAACAAGTATGTAACCCCCAAACTAATCTCTTTATCTCTTATTTCTTCCAAAAATCACACTATTTGTATCTCATGTTGTGACATGCTCTTAACGATCCACTGCTTTCTGTAGCCAGAGAAAGGATCCTCTGATTTTGCCTCAGGTTTCATGATCTGATCTTCGTTGGCGGTCCCGACTCGGATCCCTCGGTGGAACGTAGCTTGATGGAAGATTGAAGAAATGCCCCACCTCGGAGATCTACCAGGGATACATAAATATACACAACTACCTACTATCTATCCATCTATCTATCTGTTTGTCTATCTATCTATCTGTCTATCTATCTCTCTCTCTCTCTCTCTGTCTGTTTGTCTATCTGTCTGTGTATCTGTCTGTCTGGCTGTCTGTGTATCTATATAAATATATCTCTCTCTCTCTCTCTATCTATCTCTCTGTCTCTCTGTTTGTTTCTCTGTCTGTCTGTGTATCTGTCTGTCTGGCTCTCTATGTATCTATATATATCTCTCTCTCTCTCTCTCTGTCTATCTATCTCTCTGTCTCTCTGTCTGTTTCTCTGTCTGTCTGTCTGTCTATCTATCTATCTATCTATCCATCTATCTATCTATCTATCTATATCTATCTATATCTATCTATATCTATCTATATCTATCTATATCTATCTATATCTATCTATATCTATCTATATCTATCTATATCTATCTATATCTATCTATCCAAGCATGGGTCAATATGAAAGGCTGCGGAAAGTGACACGTTTCCTGAAAAAAATCGGGAAGTTGACATATGTTGACATCTGAATTTCCTTGAAAACACGGGAAAATCACAAAGTCACCTCGTTTCCATTAAAAAAACGGGAAAAAAACACCAGATTCTGAGATTCTCCACAGGAAATGCCAAAACCACAAGCTCCCACCCCAGTTTGGGAACAGCAGATCACAGCATGCAAACCTATCATTTTGCTATCCAAATATTTCCGCATAGTGGTGATTAATTGATTTGAACGAACATTTGGGTATGGGCCAAAATCATGGGATGAAGAGACAACAGATTTCTATCGTTTATATTCAAAGCATGTAAAGCGTAAAAATTACCAGTTCCCTCCTTCAAAAATTTGAGCAATCACCCGTTTAGGTTTGTGAGAGTCCCTCATTTTCCCCCAAACATTCTGAACATCTCCTGTTTCCCTTCAAAAAATGATGGGTATGTCGTTCAGTTCATCTGACGGTCACAACAAAATTGGAATCCCTTGGTTTGTTCACATGAAAATAGCTCAGATTTGTGGATGTTCATCCCCCTATGGTTTGCTGCATTTTCCCCAAATGGAAAATGCAAAAATCTAGATGTTGAATCCGATCCACCCTTGAAAAAATCTCATCCCATTTCTTGACGATAAACCAATTTTCTGGTTGTAACCCATTAAAAAACCTGGTTGGTGGTGACTGGAACCATGGAATTTTCCTGGTTAATCTATGGTTAATCTATGGTTAATAATGGTTAATAATTGGAATAACAATATATCTGGTTGGTGGTTTGGAACATTTGGATTATTTTTCCATATATTGGGAATAGTAACCCCAAGTGACGAACTCATATTTTTCACAGAGGTGGCTCAACCACCAATCAGTAACCGTTTGGACACTTGATGGTTTGGACAATCAAGTAACCCATCAATCCCTCATCGCAACCCACCCTCATCCAATGAAAAATGCCAAAGAATCTAGGTGCTGAATCCCATCCACCATTTGATGAGTCTCAATGTGGATGAATAAAGACTCATCATAACCCATCCTCATCTGGAAACAATGTCCCCAAAAAGACACTAGAACTAGAAATCCCATAGAAATATTATAAAAATATCATAGAAATCATATAGAAATCCCATAGGAATCCCTCATCTGGATACCCTCTGGTAAACGTTTACATAATTGGAAAATCACCATTTTTAATTGGAAAATCCAGTATTTCGACTGGGCCATGTTCCATGTCGCTTTTTGCATGTCTACCAGGCCGGGTAATTCATGGTCCCCAAAAACATGTTTTCTGGATGTTCCAATGGGAAATCCACTACTTAGGGAATCTATAGGGGTTTCAAACATTTTTTATTTTCCATTTCATATATAGGATAATCATCCCAACTGACGAACTCATATTTTTCAGAGGGGTAGGGCTCAACCACCAACCAGAAATCCCTCGAGGTGATGTGACCTATGTTCTGGAGCGTCCCACTGCGCGTGGCTTTCGCCTGGCGCTAGGGACGGCCTGGCTGGCGCATCACAGGTCGGATGTCGTCCCGAAAAAATGCTGGCTTTGAAGGGGATGAAATGGTAGTTAACTGGATTTACTTTCTGGTAAACAGACAAAACACTATGGAAAATCAGCAGTTTTTTATGGGTAAATTAATGTAAATCAACGATTTCGAATGGGCCATGTTCACTAGCAAACTGTTAGTTTACCAGAGGGTATATGGATTTAGAATGATTTAGACAGCTTAGTTGACGCACCAAGACTTACGTAAATATGATATTATGGTTTGAGGGGATAGAACTATAAGGGTTTATACCAATACTTAGCATAATAAATTTATGGTATCCAGTATATTTGCTAATGGTGGGGGTGTTCTGGATAGTTCGAAATATGACCAAAGCTGATTTCGGTTTCTCTAGAATCTTAGCGGAATGATTTACTCAGGTCGCGACGTCGAACAATGGTTCAGTTTGCGAGAATCATCTCGGAATTTTCGACCTTTTTAGCTTCGTGATTTATTGTAATCCAGATATGTGCCATGATTCTCTATACAAACCCGGGATATATAACCAACAATATAATGGAAACAAAATGATGAATTGAAAAAGGAAAATTTGGGGACGATCATCTATAAAATCGTGACAATTTGCGGTGAAATAATGGGATATCACCAATATTGTAAGTTCAGGGTCTGTCTGAAAATGGAAACATATGATAAACAAGTTTAAATCGGATTTTGGCCCACAGACATTGGGGGGTTCAGGATGGGGCCCCTAAGATAGCTAAGTTGCCTTATAAGTGGCTGAATTCTATGGTTTATGGTAGATATAACGAAATGTTAATGGGCTATGCAAACCAACATTCCCATTAACTTTCCATGCCCAGTCATAAACTTACCATTTTTATAGGTGGTATAAACACTATAATCATTGGTCATAATGATTATCATTGGTTTATAGTCAGGTGAGTAAATTTCATCAGGACCTTGTAGGACCTCACTGCGTGACCAAGATATGACCGTAACGGTGTCAGGTCTGAATTATGCTGGTTTCCCGGAAAAAAAAGAAGGCTATGACACGACTATGAAATGGTGGGTTTAGGGCATGAAATGGTAGTTTTAGTGGATTTACCCTCTAGTAAGCTGAGATAGCTATTAGAAATGAACCGTAAAAATGTAGGTAAATAATCCAATTTTTATTGTCATTTCCCGTAGCCATAGCTATGTTGGCTTGCTGGAGGGTATGACATGCTATGACTATGACCAAAGATTGTATGTTAGGGTATCTTAATTTTCAGACAACCCCAATTCAGAGATTTATGTGCTATGCCCGCCAAATTCAAAATGAGTGCTAAAAGCAACGAGCATATGGGGATATCATGGGGATATAATGTGGATATAACTTACAATACTTGGGTTTTATCTCTTTATTCCCTGGTTTTTCAGCATTACAAAATACCATTCCCGGTCAATGGGTCATGTCGTCCGTGTCGTCCTACGTTTCACATGGTGAGCCAGTGAAAATACCTCTGATGGCTTCATATAGGAATTTTTACTAACTGGCGTATTGGGGATGGTTCTTATGCATTTCATAGGAATCTTTACTCACCAGCCAGTATAATGAGATGGAATAAGGTTTTTTCATGGCTCAGGTAGTATGACACCTAATAAGCAAGGCTCGTCATGTTAGTGGGGGCGATGGTAGCCCAATTTTACGGGTAGCCAACCATCATGGGGATAGAAGTGAATAAAATGAGAGATGTATGGATGTGTATAGTATGTGTGTATATGTATGTGTATCTACATATATATATATATACATATGCGTATGTGTATATATATATACAAACATATACACATGCCATATGTACAATCAATCAACAACAGGAGAATGAGGTTTGTCCACCACTGGAGTCAGAAAATTGGTCCTTTCGTGCGTTCTATGCATCCGGTCTTTCTGCTTGAGAATTTTGGGTAAATTCTCCTTGATCTGAAGGGGATGGTTCAAATTTCCGACAGTCCATCAATCTAGCAGAAGTATTGGGGAAAAAAAAGTCCATTCCTGTGTCCGTTCGCATTTTTCGCTTTTTCGGGGAAGGCTTCAATTTCCTATTGGTGACACCTTTGTCCATGAATATACGCCAACTACTCTGGTTGGTGGTTTCAAACATGGCTTTTATGTTCCATTTCATATATGGGATAATCCTTCCCATTGGCTAATATTTTTCAAGAGGGTTAAAACCACCAACCAGTATTTTTTGTGTGAATCTGGATCTTCCGCCAAGCGATCAGCTTCTCCCAGCATAGGCCGGACTTGGACTTTGTGATGTACCTGGATGACGACAGCTCCTGGGCGCCATGGAATGTCCCAACAAGATGGGATTAGATATCTGCACAGGATGGGGCCCCCAAATGTGATGTTAGTTGGTTTATAAACCCCATGAATACCATAGTTATCTAGTTCGTTATATCTACCATAAACGATAGAATTCAGCCATTTATAAACCAACTTAGCTATCTTGGGGGCCCCATCCTGTATACTTATTCAGATTTACATCCATTTATCGAAGGAAGTTTAGAAGTCAAACTTCCGACAATATGGAGAGATGAAAAAGCAGTCAGCAGGGAGAAGAGTCAGAAGAGAAAAGATCAGAAGAAAGAAGATGCAGGTGCGCGAAAAGGTAGGAAAGTCGCGAAACATTGTGTTTTTTTCGTGGTTTTGTGGCTCCGGAGGGTCGAAAAGTAGGCTCGCTAAAGCGGCGGGTGCGGAGACATCTGGGGAGATGAGAGATGAAAAGTTGCACGCCGTTGTGGCGCGAAGCCGATTTCGAAGTGAAAAGGTACAAAACACCTCAGCGCCGGACCACTTTTGGAAGTTGAGATGTTGAAGAAGTGCATGGCGTTGTGGCGCGAAGCACATTTGGAAGTAAAATGTGTTAAAAACTTAGGGGTTCGGAGCAGTTTTGGAAGTTGAGATGACGAAAAAGTGCACGGCGTTGTGGCGCGAAGCACATTTGGAAGTAAAAAGTGTTAAAAACTGTCGGTCTCGGAGCACTTTTGGACGTTGAGATGTCGAAAAAGTGCACGGCGTTGTGGCGCGAAGCACATTTCGAAGTCAAAAGTGTTAAAAACTGAGGGTCTCGGAGACATTTTGGACGTTCAGACGTCGTTTTGTGTGGCAGGTGGAGTGGATTGTGCATCCACTCAATAGTGACTAAAACGTGAGGGTTTTGTGGCATTTTCAAAAACGATGGCAGGCGTGGGGGATTTGAAGAGGATCTGCACAAATGCATTTTTGGTGGCAGGCGCACTACAACAGGCATCTTCAGCAGAGATGTTCGGAGCTCAAGGAGCTGATTTCCTGAGAGGGGTTGCATTTTGGCGTATCAAATCATCAGCTATGCCAAGATGCTTTTTTGTGACAGGTGCAGCATTTCGCATGACCTGGACTAACTTTTTCGTGGCAGGCGCAGTACTTTAGAGATAGACCGAAAGATCGCTAGAAGCGTCGATGACCAGATAAACGCATGGGTAGCTAGATAGATGGATGGATAGCTGGAAGAAGAGGTAGACGGACAGATGCATGGATGAATCGATAGAGAAACAGAACGAAGAACATGGTGATGGATAGCTGTGGACATGGATCGATGAAGAGATGGACGGAAAAAATAAAACTAACAGAGAGAAGTAAGTGGATGGATGAATGGCTGGAAAGACAGAAAGATAGACAGTTTAATAGATAGGTGAATAAACAAATCGATCGATAGATACATGACTAGACAGGTAGATAGGTAGATTGCTAGAAAGGTAGCTCTGTAGATAGATGGCGAAAGAGAGACACAGAGAGAAAGAGAGAAAGAGAGACAGAAAGGGAGAAACACTCAACCACCTTTCAATCCATCAGTGGGTTCGCTCTGCCATTTTTGCGTCGCACCAACTCACCTCTCCTATAGGTTTCCATTTTTGAAACTTCCGCCACCGCCTTGTGCGGTACTACTGGTATATTTATGTTGAATGGGTGTATACAGGGGAAAATGTTTCCCCTATGAATCTTGAAACTATTCTCAATCTCCATGCGGACGGTGAGCAATCTATGAATCAAAATCTCTGGATTGGGCAATGGATTTTTATCCGAAAAGTGCGTCCTAAGTGAAAGAAGAAACACCAGAAGTGAAACAAGAGTATGAAACAGAAGCTTCCGAAGGGCCGGTTCCAACTTGGGCTACTGCCGACGCAGAAACCCGAATCGCGGCCGCTGCGTGGCCTGTTGGATCGCCACTGGCCGCCCTATTGCTTGCGAGCGGGTGACCCACGTCATGCCAGCCTGTTTGCAGATGTTTGCAGGAACAAAGGGAGGAGATGGCTAACATCCTCACGGGGCACGACGTGCCAATGATGCTGGGCCAACTGTGGCAGGCAAAGAACCGGAAAGCAACAACCTGGAATCACATCACACTTCCCTGGTTCGTCGATTGGCACGTCCTAGTTGTAAATAGTGTATTTTGCTACCCCCAACCAAAGTATACCGCATTTTCCATGCTTAAATCCCCGTGTTTGATGGTTAAATCCACATTTGCCATGGTGAAATCCCATTTTTCGATGGTTCAGATACAGATGATCGCTCGCAACCGAGAGCGAGGCTATCTTCACATCCCACGCCTTCTAGCAGCGTTGGAGGCGCTATCGGCGAAATCTGAGAGGAAAAATAGCAGCAATGGATTTCAATGTCTATACATATGTTCTGTATATATATATATACACACGTATAGGCTACCAAATACGTATATGAGTATTGAGATATATAAAATATAGAGAGAGATGGATGGATGGATGGATGGATGGATGGATGGGTGGATGGATGGATGGATGGATGGATGGATAGATAGATAGATAGATACTCGCAATTACATGCTCAATTTGCCTATCTATGTGATGAGAAAAACATCAGATATCCAGATGTTTCCTGTGAATCGTCCCTGAAAAAATCTCAGAATTCGAGCTCTGACTGCTTGGGGAGCTTCTAAATGGGGGTCCAAAACATCCATTTTTTGTTTGGGATTTTCCATTAAAAACATTTAAAAACCATCCAGCTATTGAGGATCCACCATAGGAAACAGCCTATTTTTATGGCATCGGCTCAAGCCATGCTATTGAGGTAGCGATGAGAGCATGGTGCAATCTCAGCCTTAAAGGGTGACCTCAATGCAAGCTTGGCTCTCCACTGAGGTGACTGACAGTTATAATTCAATGGGGGGCGTTTCATAAATGGGGGATACCTTTCTGGATAGTTTATCGAAAATCCGAACTTAAAATGGATGAGAACTGGGGGTACCCCCATGACAAAACGGACACCTCCAAAATTGAGTTCGAATCCCATCTTACCATAGTTACAACTCCGACACGACAGTTCCCTTCAGTGAAGCTCGTTTTTTTCTAACCAACGTTACCTAAGACCCCCTGGTAAACTTAGTAAACTTCACCCGACAGGAGCACAAGACCCCATCCTTGGCCATGGGATACGTGATGGAAACCCAGCTCGATACCTTGGACACGCACATTTGTCACTTGGATAAAATGATCAAATGGAGCATCCCACGTTCATCGGATGGCGGCCAGAAAAAGCAACCAGAAATTATCAGAAATTGTTCAGTGGGATGTTAGGGATGTTCTCTATATAGAAGATATTCCAAATTTTCGGTAATATGCCATATTTCAGCATGATATGGGGGATGAATCAAATAATTTTAGAAGAAAAACTACAGGTGTCCAGATGAATATTTAGTATGAATAGCATCTATATAAATTATTGGGGCATTCAATGACTCGACCTATACCCATATTCATGTCAACCCCGGAGACTACTTCGGGGTGTAGGACTGGAGTTACCACTGAGTATAACTATGGGTTTTTAACCCCCACGTTTGTTGGGATATGAAGCCCCTATAACTTTTGGCTGATAAAATAATGCCACCCCCCAATTTTTGAGACCATTTGCCACTAGAATGGTACCAAACAAAAAAGGACATTAGAATGGGGTTTACTGATCCGGGGCTGACATTATCGGGATATGATGGGGACAACGATGGTGATATAATCGGATATTTCGTCGGATATCCTGGGGATTCATCGGGATGATTTGGTTTCCTGCGCTGCAGGCATGGTTTGCCCTACAAATTGTTGCCCGACTGCAATTTCCATGTGCCGACGAAGGGGATCATCCCACAAATCGGAATGTATCAGAAGCGATTAGTAGGGGACGGTTTATGTCAGTTGATTTATTTCCTGGTTGGTGGTTTCAAACATTTATTTTCCATTTTATATATGGGACGTCATCCTTCCCATTGACTCATATTTTTCGGAGGGGTAGGTCAACCACCAACCAGTTTCTAAATGGGACGGCAGGGAATTGGAACATAGGCTTGTTCACCACGATTCTTCTGATTCTCCCAGTTTCTGGTTTTCTGCCATGACCAGCATTGAAAGCGACCAATGATTGTTGTTTTTTTGGGATCTTCCCATTTATCCGGGATGTATTTCCGCGATAAAAGTCCATCAAAATCCTAGGAACTATTCACTTGTTCAAGGAATTTCATGGATTTTCACCATGGTGTTCAATAATATGCATTCTAAGAATTGGTGAATTTTAATGAGTGATATGATATATATATATATAGTGCACACCATTAAACCCATGAATTACGCATTAATCCCTAAAATACCCATGACATTTCAATGTAATACCTGGATGACTCGTAGGATGACTCATGGAAAGCCACTGACTCCTTGTATTTGCCACCATGGTTTAATGGGTAATAGTGGTGATATCAATGGTTTTTTAATGGTGGTTATTTATTTATCATTTTTTATCAAAATAGTGGTTTAATGGTGATGTTTTTATGGGATATAAAAACTCTTGATGTAGATAAATGGGGATTTAATGTTGATGTAGATAAATGCACTAGGGGGCTGACGTTTGCCCGAAATCCACGGAATTCCATGCGGGACTGCAATCTGCTGTGTTGTTTCCGTGCGTGTTTTTCGTACACTGCGAGCATGCAAAATATTGATATTACCTGCGTCTCGTGGCATTTTTGCGCTTACCTAAGACGGCGCCTACCAAAATCACCTTTTGAAGCGTATCTTAAAGATATCCTCCGTAATTTGCAGTGTTTCGAGCCGTTAACTGAGACCTCAACAAACTGCAAGACTTTGAAAGGACACCAAAATAACCTAACCCTAAATAAACCCTAAACCAACCCTAAATCAACTATAAAGGACCTTAAATAGACCCTAAAACAACCGTGAGCAAACCCTAAAACAACCCTAAATAGCACGAAAATTAGCAAAACAAACCCCAAAGAAAATCTAAACCAACCCTAAGCAAGCCCTAAACACAATCTGAAACATATCCTGAACAAATCACAACGCAACTAAACCCCCAATGAAACTTTGGGCGAGCGTCCGCCCCGGAGGGATATACATATATATATACCTATTTATATATATATGTCTCTCTCTCTGGAACATTTCATATGCATCTTAGCCACCATAAGCAGTGGATGAAGGCCTCGTACCACAACCTCATGAAGGAGGACTTCCAACATGTTTTGCAAAGGTCCGTCGCATCCTTCGACAACAGAGGGTACAACTCGTAGAAGGCCATTGAGCAGGGGTCCATCTACCAATTGCAGAGCCTTCAGCCCTATTATGAGTATGACTCCTACTTCTGGGACTCTTACTGGGTGACCCTTGCCGACCCATCCAGCCCCGTAGGACCATGCACCGGGAGCCCCCATGCCTGCCTTCGAAAGAGGGTCATGTTTTTACCAGCAGCGGAAGCATATTGCAGAGAATACCCTTGCCAAATGTTGAGGTATGCAGTTGTCCTTCCTGGTTTGTAGGCTGGCAAAACGGTTGCTAGATAATGTGGAAAGAAATTTGAAAGATACTGTCCATGGCAACACCTATGGGAGTAACCTTTGGCCAATTCAATTAAGATATTAATATTGCTAATGATATATACACTTATAGCAAGGAGCAGGCCTACAATACAAAGTCAGATGAGGCTAGGGCAAAAATTCAAAGTACATGCTAATATTGCATTGTCATTGGAAAAAGATGGAATTTGACGCATGTTTGGGCACAATTTGGCTTGGCTAAACTAATATGATAAAGGTGGTTATAACTATCCTTGGAACTTATAGTTCTGATTGATGGCTGCCAATCATCAAAGGAAATGATTTTCGCAACTTGCCATACATTGATTGCCACAGAAATGATACATAGAAAAGGAAACTTGGTAGCAATATTTCTATATATCTTTAATGATATTCATCATCAATGTTCAGAGTTTGACTAAAGTGTTTGCATTTCGAATGAGGGTACGTTGGTCATACCATACTGAAGAAACATATGACATACCTTGCAAATATTTTCAAGATTATTTGCACAAGAAAAACAAATTCTATCATATTCTTGTATTGGCATGCTGAGTATAGCCATTTTGACATACAAAGATGACGTTATCTTCACATCACTCTTGATCATATATTTGCTGTGTATCATTCAATGGCCTATCCATTGGCACAATGATTTTATTTATGGAACACTGTTGCCAACATATACTTTCATCAAAGCCTTCGGAAATTGAAATTACCCTCTGGTTATTTAACATAGTCATGGTATAGATGGCCCATTTAAAGATGATTTTCCCAGCTAGAAACCTCCATTTAGATGGGTTTTCCATGGCTATGTTAGTCATAACCAGATGGTAAAACGAACCAAACAAACCGACTGATAAATTCAAGGGCCGGACAGCTGCCGGACGATCCGATCGGATCCGGCCAGTACCGTAGTGCCAATCCGGAGAATGATCCTGTGAGGATCCGGTGACTTTAGTATGTCAACGCTGTTTTCCTAGGGTCTGAGGGAGGTGGGCACCATTTTTTTTAAAGAATATATGTGTTTTATATTTTCATTTTTTTGGGACCTCCCCACCCCCTCAGAGAGGTCTAGAAGGTAAAAACCACAGAGCTTTAGGCTTTCCATGGGTCTCCAGGAGGAAGAGAGAAAGGGAAAATATATATCTATATAGAAAGCTTAGTAGCAATATATAGATCCAAAATTTGAGCCATATCTGTCCATTCCTCTTTCTGCATTAAGCTGATATGGCTGAAAATTAAAATTTATTGGAAAGTGTTACTATAATTGGTTTTGATATTCCAAGTTTGTATATTGGCATATACTAGCACAAAAATATAGAATGAAACATAACTTGTTTGGGTTGATTTTCATGACCTAAGCCAAATTGTTCAAAATATCCCGGGCATAATTAAAACAATGAACATTTGATGATATAGTGACCAAAGATGTTTTTTAGTGACTTGTTTAAAGCACCGTAAAAATGGGACCTCCACAACGTCCCTTTCTGATATATATATATGTATGTATACATATATATGTATATGAGATTGTCTGAAAGTATGGTATCTAAAAATCCCATGGTTCATCACCATTTTCCCCAATTAAAATGCCATCAAACGTGGCTTGCTGGAAAATCCCTGAACTAGTCATGGAGGCGTCGTTCGCTGGAAATCTCATCGAAACTAAATGGCTGATTTTCCAGCAAAGCCATGTTTGATGACACCAGAGGGTAGATGCTGGTGCATGTCACAAAGGTCAGATGGTTGATTTTGATGATTTTCATGATTTTGATATTATAAATCAAATCGTGATGAATTCTAGAAGTTATAGATAGTGATGAGTTGTAGTTATAAAATGTTATAGATATAGATAGTGATATATATATATATGTCACATATTTCACATAACCAGTTATAGATAGAGATATGTCATAGATGTCCTGGTTGCGGCAAGATCAATGATCGCCACGAACAACGGGGGGGCGCTTTATGCGATGTATGCAAGTTGACCTAAAGCTATTCGTTGGGTAAATCCGCCATGAAGAACCATAGATAAAAAACATGAAAAACACCATTAAAAAAAAACATAAGATCCCATAGATATGCATAGATAATTAGATAGTCCCAATTTTACGGGTCGTTTTTCACAGTCGTGCCTTAAGGTGAGAGATGTCGTGATGATCCCTTCTTGCAAGAGTTCTGCGGGCAGTTTCCCATGATGTCCTTGGGAGGATGGGAACATCTTCAGTCTTTGGTTGGATGGCTTCGATGGCTTCCTGTGTGTCGGAAGAAACTGAAAAAACGGATTTGTTCTACGATTTTTTCTGTGTATGTGTATTATATATATATACATAATATTTGTTGTTTGTTGGTTAGTTAAGCCGCTTTTTGTTGATCGCATCTCGGTTTGTGTGTCCCGTTTGTGTTGGTTCGAGTTCAATGAATCCCGACTATGAATCCCGACTATGTATATCTGGTTGGTCGTTTGGAACATGAATTTTATTTTTCCATTCAGTTGGGAATAATAATCCCATTTGACTCATATTTTTCAGAGGGGTAGGGCTCAACCACCAACCAGATATGGTTTGATATAGGATCATAGTGGGATAAGAATGATGTTTTCTCATGGACAATTATATTCAATTATGCCATAAACTGGAAATCAATTTCCCATTATATCTGGAAATCATTAGCCAGATTATATTTAACCATCATTAACCATATAATAACCATCAACATTAACCATTATTTACAGTATATTAACCAGATGAAATCTCGTTTTTTCTTCGTCAAGTCTTCGTCAAATCTCCATCAAGCAGTCTCCGGAGAGGATGTGCCTTTCTGGTGCATCAGTGCAAGCTGCTTCTCGGTGCGAACGCGGAGGCTCAGGCCTTGCTCGGTTTTTTGGCGCCTGGTTCACCCCATGGGATAAGAAGGCTTACCCTCTAAACAGACAAAAAACGATGGAAAATCACATTGCTATTAATGGGTAAGTCAACTATCAAATGGTCATGTTCAATAGCTATGTAACAAATTACCAGAGGTTAATCCACGTCTAACTGGGGTGAGCTAAGCCACAAAAACGAGCCGTGGGCAGTTCGCCACCAAGTGGTGAAACTAATTTCACCTACAAGTCCGCGATAACCACACTGAAAATACAATGGGATAACCAGCAAATATTTCTGGAGAAAATGGGATCCCCAGTGGCAATCTTTGGAAAATGATGTGAGAAAGCGATGGATTTGGGGTGACTTCCCATCATTGACAAAACTTGATCCCAAAAGACGTGGCACATCATTCTGCTTGAGGTGTGGGGTACCATGACGATGGACACCTGGGATCAATCCATGGCTGTTCCACCCGCAAGTTGGTTTTGCGGGGGCGAAAGACATTCCTTAGCCTCGGGTAATGGCTGACATAGCGATTTATAGTGATTTAATGGGATACTAATGGGATATACCCTCCTGGTAATGGCTGACAGTTTGCGAACTGGAAAATGGCCATCGAAATAGTTGATTTACCCATGAAAAACAGTGATGTTTCATCGTTTTTTGTATGTTTACCAGAGGGTAGTTCCAAAGTCTGGTTCTTTGGTTCCCGATTCGTTCTTTCCTTCCCGATTCCAATTCCTGGCTCCAGCTTTTCCGCCAGCCAATGGGAAATATCATGAAATATCATCCATGAGGGGGGAATCCCTACCAAGTAAAAAAAATGGATGCTTCACTCCTTGTTGGATCCGAAAAAATGCTCTGAAAGCCTTGATCCACTTGATCCCCTCTGAGATTTGGCCAAGACGAAGTGGAAGGAAACCCGCAGGCCGGGGTTCAAAAGGGTGTAGCAACTCTCGGCCGAAAGGGGAAAAAACAAAAAATATCGTGCCACGGTCAAGTTGGTTAAAATGGAGCTTTTGTGGAATATATCACCAACTACTAGATACAATTGGATGATTTCCCCGCAGTCCTTGGGGGATGGACACAAAGGATTCCGGGATAGATGATGGAGCATTTCAGGTTCGTGAATTACTGCAAGTCAGCCAGATCTGTGAAATTCTATGAGTGGATAGAAAATGATACAAGGTGAGGCCCCGCCAGTGATGTTGGTGTATAAAGCCCATTAGCTATAGTTATATCCCCCATAAACTACTCGATAGTTGATCACATGAACTACGTCAACTTCGACTTGCATCGTTCTTCCATTACCAGGTTCGAGTTCCCCGGCCCTAATTCCCATGATTATCCAAGATCTCTCCAGCCCCGTGGCCCCGTGGCAATCAAGTCTCAATGACACCTGCACCGATGGTTGCAGCGAATGTTGATGATTAGTTCAGGGATGATACTCGACACGAAAAAAAAACATCTTGGTGATGCCCTGCATGGCCCTTTTTTCTGACGAAATCTGACGAAAAATGGCGGGTTACTGGGTGAGAAAACTCAGTCAGATGGTGGATTCTTTGTTACCGTGCTAAGATGCCCGTGAAGGTTTCATGTTGAAATCGTTGCTTGGTGGTATAGCCCTCTCTTATCAGCATTGATGTAGTTGGAATTCTATAATGGATGTGGCGGATACAGATGCTAACGCTACAATGGCTGGATTGTCATGCCACCGTTTGTAGAAATTAGAAAAGGTACCTTTAAAGCCCTTTCTAGATGAATTGGTTGAGGGTATCTTTTTTCGACCAATTTTGGGATGATGGTCTGGTTAACCTTGGATGGGTGGTTTAATCCTTTAATCTTTTGCTATAAATAGGAATGTCTACTAACTCTATGACTATGTTTGAGTTGCAGGGTATCTAACTTTGGCCAGGTAAGTTTTTCCGGTGAGCCACTGGAATTGAGAGGATCTGCAAGTGGTTTTTTGGGGCTCTAAAACCAACCATGAGGATAGAAACCACAGATATTCCCATGGAATCCATAGAGATTCCCTCAGTTCTCATGCTGATTCTGCTTGTGCTTGGATATCCCAAGTATTTTTTTGTCAGCAACCATACTAAAACCCAGTGATTCTAGGTAAGTTATAGCAACCCCATCCGTGCCCAGTTCGATGATTTTTTTTCATTTATAGATGACTTTCCAAGGGCGAACGACACCTTTTTTGTTGTCGGCGTTTCTTCGGCGATTTCCGAGCCACAAAAATGATGACAATATATAGAGGGTAATGATGATCATCTTCCCAGGCATATTCTGGTTGGTGGTTTCAAACATGAATTTTATGTTCCATAATACCCTCTGGTAAACTAACATAGCAATTGAAAATTGCCATTTATAGTGGATTTTCCCATTAAAAATAGTGATTTTCCATTGCTATGTTAGTTAACCAGAGGGTATATATATATAGGATATCATCCTTCCCATTGACTTTCACTCCATCATTTTTCGGGTAGGTCAACCACCAGTAGGATTTCTTTGAAAATAGGGAACCAAACCCAATGGATCACCCTAAATGGTAAACATACAAAAAACGATGAAAAATCACCATTTTAAATAGGTAAATCAACCATAAATGGCCATTTTTTATAGCTATGTTAGTCATTACCGGAGGGTATCATCATTTTCCCAACATCCAAGTGGCCATACTTGGTGGCTCATCCCACGAATCGTAAGTGGGTTAGTTCACCCCAGTTATAAGTGGATTTACCCTACTTATCCCATGTCAATCACTGGGGTTATAACCCACTTACGATTCGTGGGATGAGCCACCAAGTAGATAATTGGGTCTTCCGTGTGTCACCTACGATTCCTGGGTCCTAAATCCACCCACAACAGGCGTGTGTGGAAAAGGCGTCTCTCGGTTTTTTTGCGCCGAAATTCTCTGGTGCTTACTGCTAAAAAATGGGGTAAAATGGTGTATACTATATAAAATTAGGGATAGTTACCAAGAGATATGTATTTTTAGACACATGATAATGATGGTGACACAGTGCTTTTTGCTATATGGTTTCATGGCGAGTGTCATAATCTAGATGCCTCTACCAACCAACGAGTACGTTAGGGCTGTCTTTTCAGGGTTTCGCGCGCTCCTCATGCGGGTGTTCCCAAATCAAATGTGCAGATTGACCGTAAAAAAAATTGTTTGGCCAACGAGATTTGGGATATAGCCAATAAAAAGTGTTCTCGGTGGAATACGGCTTTAACATATTATAGAATGAAAGCAAAAGTGGCGGTATTTGACCGAATGTGGCCAACAATATTTGATCATCACGTGGTTTAAAAATGTTTGAAGGAACACTCTCACTGCCATGATTCATACTTTGTCCACAAATGGTTGGTCAGAATCATAGTTGGGTGCTTTTCATGACCAGCCCATATGTATCCATATGTGCTGCTCCGGAAATATTGGTTTTCACATTCACCAACCATGATCCCTACTAAGCACCATGTTTAAATTGACAAGTCTTCGAGTTGTCTGTACCTCAGCACGGATCACTTTTCTGTGAAATGGGTCCCCATTCTGGTTGGGGTTCGCCCCAAACACACACACACGTATGTATGTATATATATATATACGTATGCACATATGCACATTTACACATATACACATATATACATATATACATACTTAGACAAATACATATACATAGATATCTATAATATATATATATATACATATATTTAGAAGCAGATATCAGATAAGATAAGAACAGATGCTTAGATAGATATTTGTTATTTCGCTTCTGTTGCGTTGGCAGTGAAGTGCTGCAAAAGCCGCTGAGGCAACGGAATACCTTGCTCTTTGGCTGAAGAAAACTGAAGGGATTCGGCTTTCATTAGATAGAGATGATATGTATGTGTAGATAGATACAGTAGTTAGTTAGTTAGTTAGTTAGTTCGTTAGTTAGTTAGATAGATAGATAGATAGACAGATCATGGCCCTCAAAAAGATGCCGAAAAAGGTTCAGTTTGTTCAATTTAGCGTTCTATGTTACACAGCCAGGATCCCTCGCTACCACAGGATTTTTTCTGCGACCGGCAGGTTTACCGGAACCGGTGGGGAAATGCGAGGAAAACACACATCCCCATACATAGAAATGGGAGTCATATAGATGGTGAAGAGAATACCCAACCATTGACATCCATTGACTAGTTATGGAATGGTGTACTATGCTACCTGGTTTATTGCGGATAACTATAACCAAATAATGGCCGGGATACCTAGTAGCCAACGACTATAACGGGATGGCATCCCCGTAACTAGCCATTTGGTTTCATTTTACATCATCCCATAGCTAGAGGTATTCGGTATACGCAATGATAAACCAAAATTGGAGAGGATTTATTATTGGATGAACCTTCTGGTATTCAAACTGGTGATGTATTTGATAAGAAATGAATGGGGTTACAATCTCAGAATTAGCTGAAAAAAAATGACAATTCTCCCAGTAGGTGTATGTGTGTGTGTCAACCACGGTTTCAACGAAAAGTTCTCCCTCGTCTTCCCTTATCAATGAATCCTTGGTGCAGCGAAGATCCGTGGCTTAGTTCACCCCAGTTTTTTTCCTTTTTGTGCCATACTCCATTGGGGTGAACTTCGCCACTCAAGTTTTTACTCAGGTTTTTCCTGGATTTTCACCCGTTTTTTGGGTCTTTGGACATCGGGTGTCGACGAAACCGAGGCAGGTCTCGAGCTACTTCGGTGCCTATGCGCCGCGCTGGTTTTTGGGCATGGGCTGGGCTCTTTGGCGACAGAGCGTAATGCACATGGCCTATATAAATGGTGATGTTGAGGGGATATAAAATATTGATGTTCTATAAATGTGTATGATATATGATAGAAATGGGATATGTAATGTAGACACCTTGGATATGAATGTTGTTTTTCAGCAGATGGTAACAATGTATAAATATGTGGATGGCGGGTGGGACCGCGAGGCAGCGGAGGTGGTATGAAACTGGCCGTGCAGGCCAAGGAAAACCTTACCAGAGGTAGTCAAAAATACCAGTCGTATTGAAAAATATGTTTATTTTGTATTTTTGTATGTATCTATATAATTATATACGTATATATATATATATATACGTATATATATATATATACGTATATATATTTATATATGATGATTATATGATTATATGATTATATGATTATATGATTATATGATTATAGTATTAGATGATTATAGGAATTATGTATATATTATATACATCTGGGTATATTATAACGACCTCACTGTTCTCCCTCACTGGAATCATGGTTTTTATATGAGAAATCATCCCCAAATGGCCGAACTATTCAGGTTACTGAAACTGATTGGTGGTTTGGAACATTTTTTTCCATATATTGGGAACAATCATCCCAACTGACTAATATTTTTCAGAGGGGTGGCTCAACCACCAACCAGGAAATATTATTATAATTTACCCAGATACATGGCAAGAAGGTGGACAAATGCATCCCTTTTTGCTTTGTCACTTGTCGATTCAGGAAGATGAAGAAGCCAAAAATCTGTTCGGGCTTCGTTAAGATGAATATCATGGTTTCTAAGGGGGTGTTTAATATTAGGGGTGTTTTCTTGCAGAGATGTTTGGTCATATCGAAGCCGGAGCTGAATGGCCCCGCCAACTCGCCACAGGTTTTGTTTCCAGTCTTGCAAAACAGCCAGATGCACAGGACGTCGATGCCTTTAGGCCGGTCACGGTCTATGGATTGCCATATAGGGTCTGGTCTTCTGAACGTGCCAAAGAGGCTTTGCGCAGTGTGATGTTGGTTGTGCCAGCCAGTGTGCAAGGTGGGTTGCCTGCCCGCCAGGCAAAAACCATCTGGTATTCGGTTGCCCAAGCATTGGAGGATGCCTACCTCCACAATGCCGCATTGCATGGACTGTTGATGGACATCCGTAAGTGCTTCAATGCCATTCCACGGTTGCCCCTCTGGCAAGCACTCCTGTGCCTTGGATTTCCTGCCCCTGTGTTGCGTGCTTGGGTTCAGTTTGTCACGTCGCAGGAGCGGCGTTTTAAAGTCCGTCGGAGTGTTGGAGAACCCATAGTTTCGGTGTGTGGACTCCCTGAGGGCTGTGCCATGTCGGTGTTTGGGATGGTCGTTGTGGACTGGATGCTGGATGTTTGGCTTGCTCAACTTTGCAACCCACCGCAGTTGCAGGCTTTTGTGGATGATTGGGCAGTGGTTTACCAGGAGGGGTCAGCCTTAAATCGAATCTGGTCTAGCTTGCAGGAGTTCACCCAATGCATGGATCTTTCCATTGACTTGTCGAAAACGCGGGTGTGGAGCACCGATGCCGGTACTAGGTCGCAATACCGGCACGGTGAACTTGAACTCTCACATGTGGCTCGGAATCTGGGCGCTCATCAAAACTTCAGTCGCCACTGCTGGAACTCGGTTCTTCAAAAGAGGTTGGCGTTGATGCCTGGGGTCTGGACTAAGCTCCGTGCCAGTCTGAGTCCTTATTCCCATAAGCATGTTGCCTTGCGTATGTTGGGTTGGCCGCGAGCTTTCCATGGGTGCTCGGTTGTCCATATAGGGTTAGACCACTATAAAAAGGTGAGATCAGGTGCTATGCGAGGGCTCAGGGCGGAGAGGAAAGGGGCCAATCCAGTGCCGATCCATCACCTCTCAGGCGATCCAGAGGCCTGGGTAATCCTGCAGACCATTCGGGATGCACGGGAATTGGGTGGACCTGCACGGGTCGAAAGTATGCTTGGACTTTATGCTAGCGCAGAGCAGCTTCCCAGGAATGGGCCCACAGCAGTATTGTTTGAGCGCTTGACCAAGTTAGGATGGACGGTTGGGGGTAATGGACTTGTGCAAGATTCCCTTGGTAACTTCAGCTTGATGTGCGTGGGGTGGGATGAACTGCTCTTGAGGTTTTCCTTGGCGTGGGGCCATGTCATGGCTCAGGCAGTCCAACACCGGTCGTCTTTCCAAGGCTTGCAGCATGTGGATTTGGCTGAGTTGCGCGTGGCATTGCGTCCCTATGGTCCGGCCGATTTGGTTGTGTTGAGGTGCCACCTGGATGGTACGTTGTTCACTCAGAATGCCAGTGCCAAATTCCAACCGGGTGTTACATCACAGTGTCCATGGTGTGATCAAACTGATGGGTTCTTCCACCGTGCCTGGTCTTGTCCGTTTTTTGAGGATTGTCGGGCCCATGTCACTGAGTCCCAACGTGCGGTTGTTGAGCAGCTCCCAGAATGTTTGTCAGCACACGGGTGGCCAGTGGTCCTGCCTGAATGGGAAGTCTTGTCTGCCTTGTTGTTGCGTCCGCAGATGTCTAATCAGTCTCCAGTCTGTCCCATGTCGGTCGCGTCCCCTGAATGGCTAGATGTCTTTGTGGATGGCACTGCGGCTCACCCGAAGGAGCCTAAGCTTCGGTTTGCCGCATGGGCAGCCACCCTTGCCGTTGGGGGAATTGGACGCCTTCAGCATCGGGTTTTACTGGGTGGCCATGTTGCAGGGCTGAATCAATCCGCTTATCGAGCCGAGCTAACGGCCGTCTTGGCTGCGGTGCGCTGGGCCAAACAACATGATGTTTCAGTGCGAATCTGGTCAGACTGCCTCGCGGTGGTGCGTAGAGTGCGTGCTTTACTTCAAGGCAACCGGGTGCGAGCGAACTGTTCCCATAGTGACTTGTGGCTGCAGCTTGAGGACATCTTGCGCGAGTGGGGCGCTGGTCGGATTGCGATGGTGAAGGTGGTGTCCCATGCAGACGTCACCAAGGCGGTTGATCCCATCGAAGAATGGGCATATTGGCACAATCGGCTGGTCGATGAGGCTGCAGCTCATATCAATCAGCAGAGACGGGCGGAGTTTTGGGAGGCATGGCGGAGGCTTTCTGATGCGCTGACTTTTCACCGCCAGTTGCACAGGGCCATTTTGGAAGTGTTGCTGCGGACTGGCCGCAAGGCCATGAATGAGCAACAGCGTCCTCCGCCATTTCGACCGGTGGCAGAGCCGGCGCCTGCTGAGAGTGTTGGTACTTCACCAGCGGAGTGGAAGCTGCCTACCAAGATGTTTGCTCGGCATGGGTCAGCCAATGTTCAGGCCCTCCATCGTTGGTGGACTGCAGTTGGGGGACGAGCCATGGGCAGTGAAGGCGAGCTGGTTTATGTGTCAGGCCTGCAACTCTTTTTGGACTTTTACTTGGTGACAGGACATCGGGGTCCTTGGGTTTGCAAGAAGAAATGGTTTGATACAGCACTGGCAGCCCCGGAGGAAGCCAGAACGACATGGGGGTCTCGGACCAAAGCTTTTCTGATGCTTTTTCAAACTTATTTGAAGGCGCACAAAGTCAATTTGAGCAAAAAGGTCACGAGACCTTCATCTGGTGCAATCTCTCACTGGTTGGTGTCCTACCGATTGCGGTATCCCATTGCGCGGCTCAGAGAGATCGACAGTGTTTTGTTTCACCACGCAGGTCGGCAGCTGACATCTGCTGGTGATATTAGGACTTTTACTCCATACCAGATGGAGGCGGCATAGGCATGGAGGCGCTGTGCGGCAGGGTTGTCGATACTGCCCTGTTGCAGACCGATAAATGTGATAAATGTAATATTTTTCAGAGGGGTGGCTCAACCACCAACCAGGAAATATTATTATAATTTACCCAGATACATGGCAAGAAGGTGGACAAATGCATCCCTTTTTGCTTTGTCACTTGTCGATTCAGGAAGATGAAGAAGCCAAAAATCTGTTCGGGCTTCGTTAAGATGAATATCATGGTTTCTAAGGGGGTGTTTAATATTAGGGGGAAGGGATTAGATTTAGAACATGTTGAATCTACCTCCACAACTATTTTGACGGGAAACTGGTGGTCAACCCGTGGATTTAGGGGCCCGACATAGGGGGTACCCTGTGTTTGAAACAAAGCCCATTTTTGAGCCTTTGTATACAAGCTAGATTTGCTGGCATGGTTGATTTCCTATTGCTTCATGCAGGGAGCTCAGCAACTCCAAGAGTATTTGCTGTTTTTCATCAAGGATCAAGTGCCTTCTCAGTTTGATCCATAGCTGCTTCGATCAGATCATCCCCAATTCTCTTCCCGGATGGTCATCCATTTACTGCGATAAAAATCCATCCATGGAACACAGTAAATTCCCAGTGGATGACAGCCAGACAGCATGTTTTGACCGTGGAAATGATGGTTAGTGAATGGAATATCAAGTCATTGTCCTGGTTAATTTATGGTCATAATAATTATGGTTAATAATGGTTAATATTTTATGGTATATTCTGGAGATATCCCAATTTACTTACGATGGAATAGAAAGAAGCAGTCAGATATCCAATACTCGTATGTCCATGATAATAATCATTAGATGGTATATGCATATTAACAACATTGGTATACCAATGGTAGTCACAACATATTAACAAATAATAGTGGTGTATGTATATATATATACCAATGGTATTACTTTCATGGATTGGTAAATCATGGAAAATCTACAGGAAAACCCCATTGAATCTATGGAAAATCTATGGTTTCCTGTAAGTTTTCCCTTAAACCAATCCAATGGTGATATCGATTTAGAGCCTGTTCGAGGTCTTCGGCCGTCGCATCGTGGATTTCCTGGCACGAAATGTGGCAGACCTGAAGAAACACGGCGACTGGGCGCGTCCAAAATATGGGGATTTCACATATTTTTTCGATATATCAATTGGTAATGACGAGCAATAGCCAATAATTAATATATATATGTGTGTGTGTGTCACGTGTGTAATCGGTATGTAGTTTGTGGTAAACGCAAAAATAACCAGTGCGGTAAACCCAATAGTAACCTACCATGTGGGGATGATTTGAATCTCACCCATCTATGGTAAGTCATGAGGGATGGTTTAGAATTGTTTACCACATTGAATGATAGTTAAGAATGATTGAGTCCTTCGGGAGTAGGTAGAATCATATAAAAATAAAGTACCTGCTGGTAATCTAACATGTCATTGAAAGTCATTGGCTTTAAGTTCGCCAAATCGTCTATAAATGATCCATTTCTCAAGCTGTGTTTCTGGAGAATGTCCATTTGGATCGCTGAGTGCATTGCATATTACCTTCTGGGAATCAAATGTGGCTGGGAAAATCATTGAACTGAATGGATCTAAATGATGATTTTTTTTGGGTTTGCACGTTTGATTACCCGGTACCCTCTGGTAATTTAACGTAGCTAGTGAAAATGGCCATTAATAGTGGATTTTCCCATGAAAAATGGTGATTTTCAATAGCTACGTTAAATTACCAGAGGGTATTCAATAAGAATGACGCATTTCAGCGATGTCTTTATACCTGCCCAAATCCAGCAACGGTGTGGTCGAGACAAGTAGCATTCTGAATGCAACGCCCTCCCAGCCTTGAAGTCATACAGAAAAAAAGGGATCGGTGCCTACTCTGACCATATCTAGGGGAACCAACATCAATGGGAATTCCAGGATCCTAAAATTGAGGTACTGTACCATATAAGGCCATACTTTAGGGGGATATCCCCTTACATAGCCCTAAAAAATAGGCCTTATATATGGTAGGTACCTCCAATAAATCGGTTCCTGAAATTACCATGACCCATGAAAAGCCACCTATGTTTGGGTAGCATCCGGTGATGAGCCACCTACTCAGAAGCCGCAATTTGGGACGATGCAACAAGGTGCTGCGGATGTCCAGCTGGGTTTCTGGTGACTTGGTGAAGATGTTGAGGAATAACCTTCTTGGTGAAATCAAATTTAAATGCTGAAGGATATATAAGATGTAACGTTAGTGAATCATAGATGCTGAAGAGTATATATCCGGGTTAATGCGTGTAGATTGTGTTATTCCAAAATATATTGAGGACACTCAGAGCAAGGTAAAAACTCTTCCGGAAGATCAGCATCCAATTTAATCCAATATGGAAACTGCTAAATTGGAATTGAAGTCACAGAAATTAGGGTAATATAATGTAATATATTTCAGAAAAAGGAACCTGACCACCCGACCAGTTGTGGGCTTCGGAAAAAAAAAAGTGCAAGCACATGGTCTGCCATAAATCCTGGAGTGCAGGGGGTGTTGGCAAAGTCGTTACTGTTTGATAACCAAACTTCGACAAAATGACCATAATTTGATGGTCTTTGCACAATAAACATCAATAAACATGATTCATAGTCCCCAGGTTTACCCTGGTTCAGAAAAAAGGATCAATGGGGATTCCCCAATCTGTTGCCGATGAAAAAATCGTCGCCATAGGTTGGCTCCTTTGGAAGGCATTCACTGGGTGGATATGAAGGAAGGTCAGTTCCATGACTACCCCATGCCAGGCGGGGCGATGGACATGGGGTAATTGGCCGATGAACATGAAAATATGAATCATCAAGATCCAGTATGACATGGATAGTGTTGGATAGTACTGGACTAATAGATAGTACCCTCTGGTAATTTAACATAGCTATTGAACATGGCCATTCATAGTGGATTTTCCTATTAAAAATTGTGATTTTCCATAGTTATGTAAACGTTTACCAGAGGGTAATGGATAGCAATGGCTAGTAACGGAGAGTACTGAAATCATCATAAATCACCAGATGGGAATGGTGTCGCTCTGAAGACGTGCCCGTTGGCTGAACCAGCGTTCAGATGGCAGAATAAGTCTGGTTATATACCCATAATATGTTGTATATTGTGTACATATATATATACATATATATATACATATATATATATACACACATCAGACCAATATATCTAAATATATCTGTACGTAAGTAATCATTCAATTTGTCCCATTTACATTGACATGTTGCGATTGTATATAGCCAGACAATGTATAAAACACTGGCCAGTAGGTCAAGAAAACTACAGAGTAGTCCTAGCATTTGTCGAGCATGTTCCTGTAAACATGGTTGTGTTTTCCATATCTTAGTTTTGCGGAGGGTATACGGGGTGGTCATAAATATGGCTACTCCAAATGGATGATTTATACAACGGAAAATCCATCAAACAAAAATGGATGATGACTGGGAGTACCCCCATGACTTAGGAAACCCCATGGAAGCCCATATTGGTTAATCAATGTTGATCATTACTGGTAAGATTAAAGCTGGCTATAACTTGGGTGTTTCTGCCATCTGTTACTTGGAGGATGGTCACCATGAAAATGCTGAGTTCCTTCATCCGGTGCCACCGAAATCCGAAGAAAAGCCGCTGAAAACGCTGGGTTTTTACATCCCATGATTTTGGTTAACTCCAATGTCACTATGGTTTTTGTTGGTGATATATCGAACTAGTTAATGGGGTTTATAAAGCAATTTATATATAGGCTTTCAAGCATCCTTTTGGTGGTTTATCGGATTTCGCTGGCCCATCCACAGTGGTTTATCGGAAATTGGCAAATACCCATGGCATCGGATTCGCGTGACCAGAAAGACCCATGATCTTCTGACCCAAAAAGTATCCCTTTATTTGTGTCAGGTTCATTATCAATCCCCCCCTCTCCTATTCAAAAAAAATACATAACTGCTTGGTGCTTTGGAACATGTCTTCCCATATTTTTTGGGAATGTCATCATCCCAACTGACGAACTCCATCATTTTTCAGAGGGGTGGCTCAACCGCCATGATTTTCCCGTGGCTCTTCCCATGAAAATTTCATCCCCCTGGCGCCCTGATTTTCGAACGGGGAGGCAGTACCTTTTCCAAGGGATGCACTGACAAGACCATCTTGGTGCACAGGATGAATGAGGTGGGATGGATTAGCCTTTTTGGCCATTGTTTTTTGACGCCTAGACGTTTATGATTGGCACCACATTATGTCTTTGTCTATGAATATATATATATGTATATATATATATACATGTATGTATGTATGTATGTATGTATGTATGTATATATACATATATGTGTATATATACATATGTATGTATATATGTAATTATATATATATGTATATGTGTATATACATAATATATATATATATGTGTATATATTGAAATGGATTTAGGATTTGATGGGATGTTTTCTTTGAAAACTGAATTTGGGTTTGAAGGTGGTGAAAGGATTATGTATGTATCTTAGCTGGGGAATCCGCGAACTAAATGGGTATCTGTGGGAAAACCATCTATACACAAAGAATGTTCCATTGCCATGTTTGAATACCAGCAGGTGTATGGAGTTCAGTGGAATTTAAAGCCAAAAAAGGAGGGGTTGAATGCTACGCAGCTGATACATACATAACATCACGTAACATAACATTCCATTACATTACATTGCATATACATTACATATACATTACATATACATTACATATACACTACATATACATTACATATACATTACATATACATTACATATACATTACATATACATTACATATACATTACATATCATTACATTACATATACATACATAACATTACATTACATTAGATTACATTAGATTAGATTACATTACATATATTGCATATTATATATATATATACACATACTGTTTTTCAATGGGATTGAAATGGGATTTGACCACATTGCTAGAGGGTTAACATGGGTCAGATCATGGGGCTACTAAATGAGCCCTTTGGTAATCAGCTCCATGACTGGCAAATCAACTATTTATAAGATGATTTCTTCCATTTAAATCTCCATTGCCATGTTTGATGACCGCAGGGTCAGTCGTTTTTTTTCCGGGTGTTTCAGTGTTTACCCTCCAGTAATTTAACATAGTGATGTAGATGGCACATTCTCGATTATTTACTTGTAGAAAGGGTGATCTGGTTGATGGTCTGGAACATTTTTCCATATATTGGGAATAATCATCCCAACTGACTTTCATATTTTTCAGAGGGGTGGCTCAACCACCAACCAGGTGATGTCTTTTCATAGCCCCAGGTAACCACTCCAGGTAACCTGCCTGATGATCGATCCACAGCCCCAGGATCGATGGAAAGACTTTGATGCTGGCCATGGAAGCGAGGAATTCCACTAAAATGGTACCTTACTAATCCTGAAAATTAGTACTTTAGCACCATGGGATTTGTTAATCCACTATTTCATGGGGAAGTAGGATTTAATCCCAGGAAGTAATCCATAAAATTATTTAATCCCATAAACTTTCGTTGATCTTTTGCTATCAATGGTAAAATATGTACATTCACCCACTAAGAATTAGATTTTGTAGATGTCTAAGATTCGCCATGAATCACTCGACAACGGTGTGGCTATAGAGAAAGGGCAGCAAATCATCCACAACTGTTTTGCCAATTGGTTGACCCAGTTCCAAAATCTTTGTTGTTGGACAAACATACATATGTATGTATGTATATAGATATTTATATACATATTATATATACATATTATATATACACATACATTTGTATATATACACACATACATATGTGTATATATAAAATACATATTATACATACACACACATTGCGAACGGCGATGAGCCACTTTTACATCTTCGAGGAGAACAACACCGGCATTGGAATCAAAGTCTTGTTCAACAGGAAGGTGACCAAAGTCGTGGCGTCCTTCGAGATGAACATAAAAATTAGGGGGTTCAATGGGGGATCCCTAATAGCTGGATGGTTTGACATGGAAGGTCCTAAAAATGGATGGTTTAGGGGTAATTTTAGGAAACCTCCGTATTAAAAAATAAAAAAAGTATTCCTAGCTCATTTTGGGGGCCCAGCCATGGGGATATTTACAAGAAGAAAAATGGCTTCACCCCTTCACGAATCCCAGAATTGGCCAGAAGACTTGATTTTGAACTGCTGGCCAGTAAAACTACAGAAAACTGGGGTGTCTCCTAGATGTTCCCAACTACCCCAGTAGATCAAGGGATTCTTCTTCGCACCCAAGGATGCCAAGACTTGTGAACTTCACTGTCCCTTGACCGCTGTGACCTGATGAGGTGCCATTTGGGAAGCCATAGGAACAATAGATCTACCATAAACCCTGGGTATAAGTCAAAATGAAAGACCTCATCAACCACAGCTTTGAGTTGATTTTCAAAAGTTGGTCATTAACCATCCAATTCTTGGGGTACTGTGGCAGGTACCCAATTTTGATCCATCGAAGTATGGAACCCCCTCAGATCTGTCCCTGTTGGTTGCAGCATACTCGCCAATATCTTGGGTAATGTCAACCCCGGATGAGACTAAACAATGATCTATTAATTAGGGGGGTACTCCTCCAATAGTCATAATCCAATATTTAAATGGTACCCCCCCAATTAAACAGGCTAAGGGTTTATCAATCCAGGGTTGACATTATCACAGTTCATGAACTGGGAATCCCTATGAAAACCAACCAGTACAAGGGTATTCAGGCGTTATTGAACACTGTTCACTTGCACTACCAATTATCTGCCTGATCGTCAATATAACGCGACACCATTGTCATTTCGCAGTTGTAACCTAGTGAAGTACCAGATAGTGAAGTAGATGTGAAGTAGCCTTTCTTCCCCTATGAAATGAATGGATCCACAACTTCGAAGGGGAATGCCTGTTATGAGTTCTTCCCAAAATGTTGTGATGGTTGAAGTTCTTAAAATATTCATCACAACCTGGGGCTAGTGATTCGTTTTCCACATGGAAGATTCACCATCCGGGGCATCTATAGGTGATCTGAAAATTGTGTATTTAACTCTCCTAAACGGCAATTTTATCAGTGTGCAGATGATGATGATCCGTTGGAATTGCAGATACCAAAAATTTTCAGACAAGCCCAAAAGGGTGTTACAAAAGCCACATGAAAAGAAACCTGATCCAACCCACGAATACACGTCACATAAAAACACCTTTGGGCAACAGCGTATTGCAGCAGTCTTGTCCTTCCTCTGTTACCGTACCATTGTAGACTCTGGAGTGTCACGTCGGGGGTAGTGTAGAGAGTGGAGTGGAGACTGTAGAAGGCGAAGTGTACTTCTCCAGCTACGAATGATACCCTCACGATGTACTGCACCTGCCACGACACTTGGACTTTGTCACCACCTGATGCAGTTCTGCGATTCACAACAAACACGCAGTACCACACCAAAGAACATGTCTAGAGTCCAAAGTCTTGTGCCTGCCACGAAAAATGGACATGGACATCTCTGAAGTGCTACGTCACAAATCGATTTTCGACAGAGCTTTCCTAAAATGGTTCCTCCAAACCATCTGATTTTCGGATTTCCCATTAACTCTCAACCATCATGAACCATCATGAACTATCCATTTTTCTAGGGCTACCCCACATTTTTCGATAGAACCCTCCATTTCATCACACTGTGCCAGGCGCACCAGCCCCGGGCTTGGCCGCTTCGGCTCGTTGTTGCAACAGTTCTCTACCGTGACGCACCGGACGAGGCGTTTCTAGCGGCGTTTTTTGGGGTCACCGGGGATATGGGGATGGGACAAAATTTAAGGGACCACTGATTTTACTGGTTAATCTATGGTTAATCTAAGGCTAATGATTGGAATAACAATATATCTGGTTGGTGGTTCGGAACATGTTTTATGACTTTCCATTCAGTTGGGAATGATAATCCCAACTGACGAACTCATATTTTTCAGAGGGGTAGGTATACCATCAACCAGTTTAGGATTCATGTTTAGTATGAACCATCTAATGATTGGATTACTTGATCCCTTCTGGGGTGAAATATGTGTTATAACCTTTTTTTTCACATGAACCATCCTAAAATGATTTAACAGATTAATGTTCACATCATTAGATTAGTGTAAACCCTCTTCACCATCTTATTATGATATTATATTCCTTTATAGCCATCCTAAAGACCATCATTTAATTAGTATGCCCGTAAAGCCATATAATCGGGGTACCCAATGACCTACACCGTGCCATAGGCGATGGATCCCCAAGAGCTGGATGGTTGATCATGAAGAATCCGAAAAATGCTATGAGTTAAAATGGCTACCCCCGTTTTAGGAAACATGGATAAAAAACATGGATAAACCTGGTAATAAACCATGGTAATTGTAATTGTAATAAACATGTATGATATATATATATATATGTCTGGATAAATTGCAATATTTTCCACACTTGGGAGATAAACATGGTAATTTAAACAACCAAAATTGGGAATGATGATTAACTGATGATATTGATGCTGAATGGCATTGGTGGTATTCTGGGGTATTAGTGGTTCATCCCAGGAATCGTGGGTTATACCGGTTATACCCCTACCTTTCTGGTGGGGTGAATTAACCCACTTGGGATCCAGGAGCTATCGGCCAATCATGATTCAAGACCGCTCCAAGCCACAAAAACTGGTGATTTAACTGGTGATATAATTGGAATGGGATATGAATGGAATCTTGCTGGGGGATGTCATGGATATGGTGCTAGGCCACTCAACCACCAGACTAGTCATCGATCGAAATTCTAAGGGAAAACCATGGTAGACCCCAATTTCCCCCTATCAGGACGCAAATGATGGTTAGGATGTGCGGAATTTGGCCGAACATGGCCGACCTTTTCATGTTGGTGAATTTCCACTATGTTTTCCCAGATATAGTGGGGATATGATGGGGATGTTGGGTGTGGACGTTGGCTAGGGATAGAATAATCTCGAAAATGGCTGGGAAATTGCGTCGGATAAAGATGGATTTGGGTGCAGCGAAAATGGGAGTTAATCATCACACATAAGGATTCTTTGAAGCTTGAATATACCCTCTGGTCATTCAACATAACCATGGAAAATGGTCCATTTATAGATCATAAAACATAAACATAGTGATTTACCGAATTTAAAAATTGTGATTTTTCGCTACGTTAAATCAGCAGAGGCTACTTTTTAAATCAATACCTTGATGTGCATCCCCGGAATCCGTATTGACTGGGGAACAACCATGGAGAAAAGAAAAAGATCCAAAGATCCAATCATATGCGGCCCTCAAATATATCTGGTTGGTGGTTTGGAACATGTTTTTATTTTTCCATTTCATATATGGGATAATCCTTCCCAACTGACTAATCTTTTTCAAAGGGGTTGAAACCACCAACCAGATATATATATATATATATGGGTTATTAGCCGCTTGCCAAGAGAGGCACCCCCAAGGACCACTAGGAATTGTGTAAACGTCGTCATCTTTGGGTGAAATGTTTTCAACCATCGTTGAGAAGTAATTCAAATTTAATTTTGTTGATGGTGTTTGGGGAGTGTAGCTTACAAAAAATTGGCCTGCTCTTTACCCTGGGTATGTCATTGTAAAGAAACGGTTGAGATGGGTTCGTTGTTTGGTGCTTTTGCTGGTGATTTTTCTGTTGCATGGTCCCACTGGTGAATGGTGCTTCATGTTTGGCCAAAACCTGAAGATGGCTTCGAAATAAGGACCCACAATGGATTCACATATGAACTAGAGATTCTTTGTACAACTAATAGCCTTGGTTCATTAGCTGCCCCATGTAGAGGAATTGGACGAATTGTTGGAATGCTCCTTCCAGTAGTAGCGATGTAACTGCCACCGAAACAGATTTGGAAGGGATGATCTCATACTAGGTGTAGTTCGACTAGCAAGTGGTTATATATAACTTCTATAACCATACATATGTATATATATATATATCATATACTCATAGGGGTTATCTCTCACATCTTCCCCCTGCACAGGTCGAGATGATCGCTCCTGATCCCCATTCGAGACCGGAGGAGTCGGTGGAAAATCCCCCGGTTTTTCCACGGCGGCAAAATTCATCCCACTGATCCATGGTACCTCCATGGTACCTCTTCACAGTGATCTACATGGGATAAGCTTAATCCACTTGTGGGGGCCACTAAGTGGGATGAGCCAAGCGAAATTCATCGAACTAACTAACTGTGATTTCAGGAGAAGATTCATTGCAATTTTGCAGACTCCCTCACCCTTGGGGTTACAGTCTCTTACATATATCTTATGAATTTATTCTGTGCATGCTAAGATTGGTTCTTTCGAAGAAAAAAAAAAAGCACGCACCAGCCACTTGTAAACCTCATGCGGTTCCGAGATTGCGTTCATAGCGACCAAAAACTGCCAGACCAGTTACGACTCATCCGACGCCCCAAATCTGGCCACGTTGATGGTGAAAATGGGTTGATATCCAAACGGTTTTTCTGGCAATTTGTGTTCTGAAATTCATTCTGTCAGACATTCCTCCTTTTGAAAGCAATTGCCATTTTGGAGCTGGATTTCCCATTATATTCCAACTATATTCCCAGTATATTGCAATGATATTCCCATGATATCTAGGTTTCTGTGAAAAATTCTGCACGTCTTTGCCTGCCCCCGGCCTCCTCCCGGCCTCCGCTTGCCGTGGCGCGGGAACGGAGGGGCTTAAAATCTTCGTGGCTGCGCTGAAAAACCTGTGGTGATGCGGTTTCTGGGGAGGTCGACATTGAAGACCCTGGGGACCACGGATGGCTTAGTCACTATAGTGGTCAATAGTGATGGTTAATAGTGGTTTTTTTTGGCTATAAACCAACAACAATGGGAATATGATGATATATGTCTGGTTGGTGGTTTGGAACATTTTTTACCTTTTCATATATTGGGAATAATAATCCCAACTGGCTTTCATATTTTTCAGAGGGGTAGGTATACCACCAGTAGTCTATTTGGACAACAAATCTAATGATTGAGGTACCCAAATTTGTGCCGTGAAAAATCGGGGGAAATATGATGACAGCTGCCCGATTGCTGGCGCTTACCATGGGTGATGTGTCTGGAAATGGGCTATACCTCCAATGGCGCCAGAAATGATGTTGGGAAGCTGCTGATTTAGCCCTTGGGTTTAGGGCCTCAAACGATTTTCAGACCCTAACTCAAACGATGATATTTCCCATGAGCTACTCGTAACTGGAGAAAGACCAAGCAAATTGAGATTTCAGCACGGTGTCTTTGAATTTCAGCAGGATTTTGTCTGATCCTGTTCAGCAGCGGATTGGAAAATAGATGAAAATGGATGAAAAGAGCAGAAAATAAATGTACCCAATAGTAGAATAGTAAAGTACCCAGGACATGCCAAAACAAACCCGTTCCCAGTGCCACAAGTGACAATATGCAACGCATTCAAGGTCCTTTCCTATACACTTCCCATACAAAAAATGGACCTTTGGAACATGGCAATGAAGCACTAATGGAGCAGGATGGCGTAACTTTGGTGAAAATGAAGTAGGCCACAATGATTCAATGATTCCGGTTTTTTCCTACAATCCCCATTTGATGGCATGTTTTCCTGGGCACGGGAAATCGAACAGATCTTCCCCCACATTTCGTCGAAACCAGGTGGGTGGTTATTTGGATGAGTGCGGTGGCCCAGAGAACTTCCAAGTCACCAGCCGGGCTAACCAAGTCACTAAGTCACTGACTAAGTCACTTGCCGGGCGCAAGACGGCGCCACGCAAGCGCCATTTGTGTTTTTTTTGCTGGTAAAGTTGGTTGCCATGGAAAATAACCATTATGAAATGATGTAACGGTAAATTGGTTAATCTATGGTTAATAATGGTTAATAATGGTTAATAATGGTAAAAATCTCCAAATTCACCATGGAAAATCCCAGCATTCTTCCGATAGAGAAAAAGGACGGAGAAAGAGGCCGGAAGGCACTTTAGATGGAGATGGTGTTTGAAGTACAAAGTCATCTTTTGCCATAGGTCAACCATTATTTGTTATTGTTTGTTCTTGATTTGCCATTGATAACATGTTCATGTCTTGATTATCAAACATTTGACTGCGATTTGATTGTTTAATCACTAAGCAGATATTTGCTACGATGCATATTTATCCATATGGGGGTTTCCATAAATGGGGACACCCCAATAGCTGGACGGTTTATAATGTAAAATCCATCTATAAGTGGATGATTTAGGGGTACCCCTATTCTAAATCTCCATATCTGATTGATGATTTAAAAATCAGATCATAGCTAAAAATCAGATCATCCATTTTAATGGGAATTTCCCTTATAAACATTATAAACTATCATTTTGGGGTACCCTTCTGGGAAACCTTGGAATATTTGAATGATCATCATTTCTTCAAAAACCGATGGGTGAGACAGTCAAGGCGTCGACGCTCAAAGGTGGCAGCTCTGGTACAGGCGCCAGTTGCGCCAGTTGGTGAGTGTTGGAGATTTTTGGTGGATATTGCATGATATAACTATAAATTGATAGTGATTTATAGTGGTTTAATGGGATTTATAGTGATTCAATGGGATATTAATGGGATATACCCTCTGGCAAACTAACATAGCTATTGAAAATGGCCATAGAAATAGTGGAATTACCCATTAAAAATGGTGATGTTCCATAGTTACGTTAGTTTACCAGAGGGTAGTTACTATGGTTTAGGGGATGTAGCTATATATAGTGACCATATACTAGTTACTATGGTTATAAAGCGTATGAAGCAACTTATAACTAGGGGGGCCCTTGTACTCTGGATTTAAGCAAGAGACCATGCAGTTTCGTTTATCCCCATACTTGGTGGCTCATCCCACTTAGTAAGTGGGTTATAACCCCAGGCATAAGTGGATTAACCCTACTTATCCCATTTATAACTGGGGTTATAACCCACATACTAAGTGGGATGAGCCACCAAGTATGATATCATGCTGTTTTTCGTGAGTCCTTCTTGTAGCTTCGACCAGGACATGAGACAATTTTGGCATGACCTGTCAATGTGACAGATCTACCAGTCATCAGGCTGCTGTCTGATGATTTTTTTTCAGTCGCATGATGCTGGGTTGACCTTGGTAATTTAGTTGAGCCACCATCGTCGCATTTCCTTATTTACTGCTAGGATATAAGACATTTTGAAGATGGCTCAGTCATTCTTTTGCTCTAGGGATATTGCTAGCCAGCTGACATTTCTATTGTTTGCCATTTATCGACGTGGTTTTCACACAGGTGCAACTTCTCAGCTGCTGGCGCCCTCTTTTTTTGCAAGAGGCACCTTGAGCCATTTGTTCAATGGCGTGTATTCTTTGCGCAGGTGGCCATGCCATGTTGCATGCCATCCATCTTTTAAACCTTATGGTCTTTTGACCACACATGACTGCAAATGGAGTTATGGCTCGATCAACTGAACCACACTCCCCCCTGCAGGTCACTGCAGCACAGGAAAACATTCAAAACTAAGCCTCGGGCCCTCAGTAGAGCTCCAGCAGCATGAAGCCAGGTCTTCAAGACGCAAGCTCTTCGTCCTCATTGTTGAGGTTTTCATCTTCTTCTTCTTCATCATCAGAGACCAGAGCCCATTCTACCAGCGGTACGTCCCAATCCTCGGTCAGAGGTAAATAGGACCTGGGGAGCTTTGGGTCATATCCAGAGCTCGAAGAGGCCGGCTCCAGAGCAGCAACACCACGTCGAATGATGCCGCCACCACCACGATTGTACCCCACTGAGGTAGTTCCTGAAGTCTTGTTGTACTGGCTGGTCGGGTCATGCACCGGGACCAGCCTTGTTTCCTGAGACTCAGCGCTTGACAAAGTCCCAGTTCCACTTGAAGCCAAGCATCCATCCAGGTACAAACGGCCGACGACCAAACCTGGCTCCCAATTGGGTCTCTGGCGCCTGGGTGTCAACATTTCACTGTGGAGCCCCACGTGCACATCCATGTCGTCCTCCTTTGCAGGGGGAGCAGCAGGCCACGGAGGTCCATCAGCGGTATCAGCTGGTTCCAGCTGTATTTTCAGACCTTCCAAAGCTTCGTTCCTCATGGTGAGGAAAGTGTACCCAGTCCATTTTGCTTCGGACCGGACAACGGGATTGTCCCATCTGTCGGAGACCAAAAATCCCGGACCATCATCTGCAGGGTTCAGGAAAAAGGCCTTGGTAACCCTCTCACCTGTCAAAAACTTCGCCTCAACAGGTGCTGAGCGGTGCAGTGGGTGGAAGCGCTGTTTTCGAGGCGCTCTATGGACCTTCACCAAGAAGATCTCATTTCCACATTTTGCAACGGACCAAGAGTCCTTTTTTCCAGTTGTATTTGGCTGTCGGTATTTTTCATCCAACCAAGGTCCATGTCGAGGCATTTCATCTAGCCCCGTACCCCCAGATTTTTTCTGGGCTTTTTCAGCCTCCCTTCTCGCAGGCGGGAACTTCGGCAAAGTGCCGATGTAAGGGTCTTGCTTTGGACGACCCGCAGAGCTTGCAACATCTCCCATAGCCGACGCACACAGCAGCATCAGCGGTGGAGCTTTTCTTTTCGGCCCAACAGCAGCAGGCGGCGCAGCGGCAGCAGCAGCTGGAGGCCCAAGCACTTGCGGAGGCACAGGAGGCTTCGGCTTGGACATCTTCGGCGCCATGGCTGCGAGTTTGACCAAACTACGACTGGGGCAGCCCGTGGGGCAGTGGTCCTTAACGGCCAACAGTGGCCGTGAACTGACGTCATGTTTTTCAACTGGAGAGTCACAACCAACGGACTCCAAAACATGTTGCGCCTGTCCACAAGAGTGCCACGCCACGCAATCCCCAAATTCATCTTCAGGGTTACAATCCCAAAACTCTTGAGGGGTATGGTATTCACGGTGATCCCAACAAACTTCATTTGAGGGTTCCCAAAACTCCCCAAGCTTGTTGTCTCCAGGTTCGTTTTCCCTTGGAGCTTCCACACATTTCGAGGTTTCATTTTTCAGGGTTGATCTTCCAGTTTCATTTTCCCTTGGAAGATTTGTTGTAGCCGGTTCGTGTCCCCTGGCTTTTTGGACTTTCTTCTGGCCAATGGCTCTTGATGGTTCTTCCACCTCCCACCCTATTGAACAGGCCTCTTTGGGCGAACCTTCGTTTGAAGGTGGAGAATGCCAGACAGCAGCAAGC